TTCAGGGCAGGGGGAAGAAGGGGCAGAGGGCCCTCCTTTAAAAGACCTTTCCTGGAACCCCTACCCTAAAGCTTCTCTTGATACCTTATTGGTCAGAATTGTATCATATGACCATACCATACACAAGGGAGGCTGGGAAATGTGGCTTTTTAGCCAGGCATTATCGCCTTTAGCAAAATTGGGTAGACATACAGAGATCTCTGGTACAGTGAGAACCAAGTCACAGAGGAAGCAGAAGGGAAAGGATCAAGGGTCTATGTGCAGAGACTGTCCTCAGAGGAGACACTGTAGCTTCTGAGGGTGGGTGGATGTAGCTCAGTTTGTACCCAGTGAGTGGACGGGAATGAGAGAATGATCATGACCACTGGTGTTAATATTCTCAGTGAAGACAGAGATCTGCTCATATTCTATAATTCTATAATCTTTCATGTTTAGCACGTAAATTCACTGCCAGTCAATGTTTAGGGAACCAATAAATGAGTGCTTTTTTTTTCCTGTGGTGTTTTTATGTTATGTGTTACTGACTTATTAGAACTCTTAGACAACAGGGTAGTGAAAGTGTGTGAGGGGATGGGTGATGCTTATCTTACATTACTGGTGTGAACCCTTAGTCTTTAGGAAAAGCAAAAACACCATTTGGTCCAGGATGTTCTCCAAGCCTTGCTATATAAGCTCATACGACTGAACTACAAAGCTGTGATCAAAATGCAGAGGTCTATGGAATTGTCAACCAGGTGAAAGATCTAAAAATAAAGTTAAAAGATTGCTGCTTCTGGAAGGACACATGCTAAGTTTTAGTAGTGATTTCTCTTGTTGGGGAGAGGTGCGGGTTACAGGGAGAGCCTTACCTCTACTTCATATAAGTAAGCAGTTACTACTTTTTTATCCTTAAAAAAATAATCAAAGTGTAATAAATCCAATTCAGAACTACCTGGGAAATAAAATTGCTTCAATTAGTAAAACTCCATAATTGTGAATTTTCAGAAAAATATGAATTTACTACTTCTTCAATGCATCCACTTCTAACAAGACCTCAATACAGGGAATTTGGCTTCAAGATAAAAAGACCAAAATTGATTTGCTTTTTTTTTTAAAGACCATTTAAAAGTAGACTTATCTTGCAGAGACTTCTCTAATTGGACATTGATGAATTATCATAGCCTCCAAGGCAAACTTCATTCCACTGCTCAGTATTATGATTCAGAAATGTTTCCTTAGCTACTAAAGAAAATTCCAATGGATAAGAAGTTTGAATGATACAAAGATAAAAAGATAGGGTCCCTGCCTGTGGTGGTTAATTTTATGTGTCATGGGGTACAGGTCATGGGGTACCCAGATATTTGGTGAAACATTATTCTGAGTGTTTCTGTAAGGATGTTTTTGGATCAGATTAGCATTTAGATTGATAGACTGAATAAAGCAGATTGTCCTCCCTAATGTGAGTGGGCTTCACGCTATAGCCTGAATAGGACAGAAGGGCTGACCTCCCCCAAGTAAGAGAAAATTCTTCCTGCCTGCCTGCCTGCCTCTGAACTGGGACATCAGCTTGTTTTATGTTCGCAGGCTCACCTTGGAACGCTGGCTCCCTGTGTCTCCAGTCTACCAGCTCATCCTGCCAACACTGGCATTTGCCAGCCTCTGTAACTGTATAAGCCAGTTCCTTATAATAAATCTCTTCATGTATAAAATTTATATATATCCTATTGGGTCTGTTTCTCTGCAGACCCTGCCTAATACATTGCACTAAGTGGGCATACCATTCCATGCAGTATCAGGCATATGAACAATTAGAGTCAATCTGGTTTTGCTATAATAAGGATATTCATTCCTTCATCAAATAATATATATAGAACAGAAGTGGTGCCTATCAACATGGAGCTTAGTGTCTAACTGGAGACAGATGACAAGTAAATGATAGAATAATTGGTAAAGAGTTCAAGGAAGGATATAAACAGGGTGTTTTAAAAGAGCATAACAGGACAAGGGTAAGCAAAGAAGTGTAAAAAAGGAGTATCATCTAAATCTACCATGGGGACACTTTTATAGACATTGTGTTAGGAATAAGACTTGAAGGATGAGGAGAAGTTTGCTAGGCAGAGAAGGGTTGGGGGACAGTGTGTAGAGCCGGGAGGCCTGAGAAAGAAACTGACACATTGGAAATGTAGGAAGAAGTCTAGCCAGTGGAGAAGAAGCAAGAGAGAAGGCTAGAGAGGGAGCCATGCATCAGCTACTGAGAGGCCATGTGTGTCCAGCACTGGTATTGACTTTCTCTCTTGGGCAGGAGGGAGTCAAGGAAGATCTTTGAGCAGAAGTGACATGATTGGATTGGCCTATTAGGTACCTCATGCTACAGTGTGGAGGATGCACTGGAAGGGAGGATCTAGAGGCAAGGGGCCAGCAAGAAGTCTATTCTGACAAAATGTTCTGTGAGAGAGCCTGAGCAAAGGCAGCCTTAGGGCGAAGAAGAAACAAGAGGAGAGAGTATTTACTTAGTAGTCATTCACTCAGCAATTTATTATTTTTGCATGCAAGGAACCTCTGTTCTATCTTTATGTATTTATTTATTTATTTTTCTTTCAGTTACCCACATTATTAAATTCTCATCCCCACTAGTGCAGTTACTATCTGTCAACATAGCAAGATGTTACAGAATCATTGGCTACATTCCCCATGCTGTACTACTATCCCTGTGACCAACCTACATTATGATTGAGAATTTTTGTACCCCTTTATCCCCTTCACCCTCCTCACCTACCCACCCCAACCCCTCCCCCATTGTAACCACCAGCCACTTCTTAGAGTCTATGAGGCTACTACTATTTTGTCCATTCTGTTTTGCTTTGTTTTTATATTCCTCAAATAAGTGAAATCATATGGTATTTGTCTTTCTCCACATGGCTTATTTCACTAAGCATAATACCCTCTAGATCCATCCATGTTATTGCAAATGTCAGGATTTATTTTCTTTTTATGGCTGAATAATATTCCATTGTGTATATGCACTACCTCTTCTTTATCCATTCATCTACTGATGAACACTTGGGTTGCTTCCATATCTTGGCTATTGCAAATAGTGCTGCAATAAACATAGGGGTGCATGTATCTTTTCAAATCATGGATTTTGTTTTCTTTGGGTAAATTCCTAGAAGTGGAGTACTGGATCAAATGGTATTTCTATTTTTAGTTTTTTGAGGAACCTCCACACTGCTTTCCACAGATAAACCTCTTTTCTATTTTAAAGCTTTTTATTATACAAATAAGTGTAAAAGTAGTGAGAATACTATAATGAACCCCTGTGTATCCATCACCCAGTTTCAACAGTTTTCCACAACAGGCTGTTCCTGTTTCATCTGTCCCTCACTTTTTTTTCCCCTGAAGTCTTTTAAAGCAAATCACAGACAACTCACCATAGTATTAACTAATACTCTGTGATTGTTACAGCTGGTTTGTTCAGATCAAAACCAAAATAAGGTCCGTACATTTTTATTGATGTACCTCTCAGATCCCCATTCATCTCTAGCAGGCCTTACTGCAGACAGTGAGGAGGGCAGATAGACAGAACCTGGTGATCACTTGCCACTGGCACCCATTTTTACCTGCTGGCTTCCTTCCTTCCTACCTACTCTTCTCAGCCCGTCCCTCCTATAGGAGAAACAGGAATGAAAGTGCTTTGCCCAGCACACACTGAGACTATTTTCAAGGAGTTTGAAAAGTCACAGCAAGACCCAATGCCTAGGCCCAGTTTTAAGGTTAAGGAGAGAAGACACTCCTCAGTGATATAGTTTCAATGGTAGCTTTGCTACTACCTCCTCTGGAAAATTCTTCCCCAGTCTGCTTTGTTGCTTTCATACATCACAAAGGCTTTCATCTTACAGTTAGAAAATAAGCCTGAAATGTTAATGCCCCATGATAGTACCTACATATTCTTTGGTTTCAGGGTCAGTGATGGTGGGAGGCCCTGCACTGTGGCAGGGAGAAGGGGAGCAGGACCACAGCTGGAAATGGGAGGCTGGGCTGGTCGAAGCTTACGTCCACCTGTTTCTGAACTGAGTTACAGCTGGGTCAGCTCATGCATCGTTTAGGAGAACTGTCCTAGCAAATAAAAAGTGGATGCTTGTGGCTTGTGGTCCACAAATACTTGAATCAGAATTACATATTGAGCTTCTTAAAATGTAGATCCCCTCCAGACTTACCCAAGGTGCACACCTGAGCTTGAAAACCACCATCTTAAAACTTTGCATTCAGTCCTGAAAGACACAGGATCTGTGATACAATCAGTTTTGAAACCGTGAAGGATTCCAGAAACACGTTGTTCACATGAGGCTCAGGTCTGAAACCAGCAAACCTCTGGGCTTCCACATTCCCCAGCGAGGTGGAAATGCATGAACAGTTCATATTGTTGCATAGGCCAGGGTGACCAGAACACCACTGTTAACTGGAGAATCTGCAAGGGAACTCCTCTCTCTTCCAAGCTGCCAGCAGCAGCTTTAAAAGAAAGGTGAGGTAACGGGCCAAATTGTCCACGTTAGAAAGTAGTGTTGGACAGAGGAAGAGACACAGTCTACCTGAAAAGGTCATGGAGGGAGCAAAGACAGGAACAGTGACGAGGAAGCCTGAGAGCACCTGCCAAGCCCCAGGCAGCCGGCTGGGCACCCCTACCTGCCCCTCCTTTGCATGACAGCAGCCATGCTCAATTTTCCTCCCTCCAGGAGTCTTGTTTGGTGTCACTAAACCTGTGATCAGAACTACTTTGGTGTATTGAATGTCACCATGAAACTGTTTGTGATGGACTGGGTCAGCAGGGTGACTTGGAATAAGAGCCTTTGATTTTCTCAATTAGATAAAATAAGTTTGTTTCTGAAAGCAATCTTGCAGAAGAGGTCCTGTGATCAGAAAGAAGGGAGGAAATGTTTTTCAAGCATACAGGAGATCAGATAGTGCTTATGTGTATATGTATAACTACATATATTTTTTTAATATATTTTTTTTATCAATTACAGCTTCCCACACTCCTGGACAGTAGTTCTCCAGGTATCAATCTGAGATCCTGGGGAAGAATAATATCTGATATGTCAACAAGAATTCAAGAGGTAAGTGGCATGACAATAGTATTATAATTTCATTATATCTTTCCACCATCTTGCCACACTTATTATATCAAACAACTTAATTGTACTCCAACCTTGTTGAAGAAGAAATACATTTGAGCTTTCCATCTAGCAATTTCAAGGCACCTGTTCATATCCTAAATTATCTGTGCTCCTGGAGTGGAGGCAAAAAAAAGGGAACCATGCTTTTGATTTCATGCCTAGGAAAAAATACCACCTTGTTGGTATGACACATTATCAGGAGACTTACAATTAAATCTAGGACTTTTCAGTGCTGACATGATCCATTCTTTTATGGTCTTAAAATCCATGTAAATCTATACTACTAAAAGAAATAACATACACTTACAGAGTGCTTCCAGGCACTGTTCTAAAGTGTCTTAACATATCAACTCATTTCACCATAAGGAAAATAATTAATTTTTTGTTTTGTGAAAGCAGGGCATGTTTCAGTTAACATCTAGTTGCACAAGGCTTTGTCCATATAGAAATTGATTCTCCACTCAATAAATGAGAGGTGATGAGGGCATAATGATGAAGAGGCAGATATGGTCACTGCCCTTGTGAAACGTACAGTCCAATGGGGAAGGGAGATGTAAAATAAACAATTACTTTCAAGTGTGATGAGTATTATAACAGGGACGCCAAAGGTGGAGCTTAATTTTCCCCAAACTTTTCCCCTCTCCAGTATTCTCAGCTGCCTTGAGCTTAGTCAACCTGGAAAATCGCATAGTTGGAATCTATCTGGCTTCCTAAAACAAAACTCAACCTGGGCAGCATGAGAGCAGGGCTGTGCAGAGAAAGCTAGAGAAAGGCCCAGTGTATTGATGGCTGCCTGTGACAGGGGGTCTCTCTTTAGCATTTAAAAAATTCTTATTGATATAATAGAGGTAAAATGATAGAGAATGTAAAAAAGTCCCCAACCATACCAACCTTAATTCTTTGTAGGAGTTCCAGAAAGCTTGTTGCCTGTCTAAGCATTTGTGAACTAGGTTGAAACAGATGTCAGCCTTTATATTAACTGATACTAGACCATTTGACCCCAGAACAGCCCCTTCATCTCCAAATGCTTTGATTAAATGAGAAGCATAATAATAGTAATAACCCCTTCCAAGACTGTCCTAAGACTTACTGTTGTTGAAGCAGTTTGAGAATCCAGCTTTATTGTGGAAGCCTAGACTGTGATTATAGGCATGACTCACTGTGTGGATTCTACACAGTGCTCAACAGTTTCAGAGGGCAAGTGTTGGCATGTGGACAAAGACAGAGATGACAGGTAAACATCACTTACTGAAACAGGGGAACTGATTTCAGTCTCACCTGTCTGAATCCTAATGGTTTTTTAAATTCCCGAGTGCCTTTGAAAATGAGTAATAAAATGTGTTTTGGGAACAAAAGCAGCATTGTTTTTAATGTTGCATTTTCCCCTAAAGCAAAGCCAGATGGCATTATGGGAGCTGAGACCCTGCCAACTCTTACACCTTCCAGATCAGCCTGCAGAGGATGAGGCCAGCGAGGGCCATGCGTGAAGACCACCAGCCTCTTCAGAGTTTGACACAGAATTTAAAAAGTGTTTTTTTCAAGAATGGAGATTTCATCTGTTCCATATTTGCTTGGATCTTAAAATACACACACACATGCACACACACACACACACACACACACACACACTCTAAAAACCGCAAACCGCACATTTCAAGGAAATGGAAGAGTTCACATCTGGTAAAACTAAGCTAATAAGAAAATAATTTTCCAAATATAAGAATGAAATTCTAAACTAGTTGGCTGAAGAAATTTACCCTGATCTTGCCACAAGAACAGAGCCGTGCCCCCATCACATTATTTCCTAGTTTTTTCTAGTATCCCCCTCTTGGTGGGATACTAGAATCCAAGAACTGGCTTACAGAGAAATGTTCTCTACATTTCTCTAAGGATACATTCCCAAGGAATTCTAAAAAAAATGGGGACTGGAAAAAAGAAGTGATATTAAAATGCTTTGGGATTCACTCTTTGATTTTCTTGAAGGCTCATCCTAGTTTCCTTCTAGGCCCTGAGTAGATGGCAGTAGTTCTTTTATTTCACAGTTGGATTAAAGATTGCTGAGAATAGGGAAGTTTTCTTCTAAGTGTAGAAGCCAACTGCATATGTGGGGGTCTCCCCAAACTTTGGAGGTTTGGCTTCACAGGGGCTATGATGCTGGTTACCTCAAAATAACCCAGAGCCTTTGCCTTACCCTAGTTCATCCATCGACCAAGTGTTCAAGACTTGAGGTGGGCAACCAGGCCCCTCCTGCAGACTGGTGGTCCAGAGACCTTCACACAGCTGGTGGGCATCCTGTCGGACCTCTTGTGTGGCTACCCAGAGGGAGGAGGCTCTCGGGTGTTCTCCTTCAACTGGTATGAAGACAATAACTACAAGGCCTTCCTGGGGATTGACTCCACAAGGAAAGATCCTATCTATTCTTATGACAAGAGAACAAGTAAGTCTCCTGAGTCCTGTATGTACACTGGCTTCTGATGTTAGGGAAGCTGATGGTTTGACACTTCCAGGGAAAACCAGTTCTGGAGTTGACTCTCCCCGGTCTCGTTGAGGCAGAGGCTTCTCCCCCCAGAAAGTCCACTTCCCCTGTCGGAAAGGGGCGGTGCTCATGCAGAATTCTGGACATGAGCCATGGAAAGAACCGAGACCCACTTGGAAAAGGAACAGAGGGGACATTTCCCACTGATCTGATTGAACTAGGGTTAAGTTCTGGAGGAAGGGAAGAAAGATAAATGAGAGGCAGCGCAGAGCTGCAAGCAAAGCTGGGGTCATAAGGGCCCTAGCAAGTAAACATGGCTGTGGGAGATTTTTACAAACACAATACAGCGAAAATCTGTGTGTGTAGTACTGAATTACGTTCCAAATAGCAAGTCCCTGGCAAGTCATCTTTCCCACCTTACACTGTTTTTTTTGGCACCTGTGGGGCAAAGGGGGGTGGGGTAGGGAAGAAATAGGTGACGCTCTAGTTAAAAACTGAAGAGACAGCAGGCAGGCACCAAAACTAATTGGGCCTTAAGATACCCATACACAACAAAAGAGTTAAGCAGCTAATTGAAAGGAAATTATTGAAACTAAAGCTGAGATTCCAAGGGGAGGCCTACTTGGCTCCCTGGTCCCTTGCCTGCAAGACTGGCCTCTGTTCCTTGCAATCATCACACGCAGGCTTCTCAGCACCTTCTTCTGAAGCTGTGACCACAGGGTGAGCCCCATCCTTTGTTTCTCCTCCAAGGCCCTTGTTGGGATGCACTGTGGCAGTTTGTTACCCACTAATGATGACTTTGTTAATTGGTGGGGTGCAGCCTACCAACCGAGGCTGTTTGTGGAATCCTCCACCCCAGAGTTGAATGAGACATGTGATTTGAACACGTAAATGACTATGTGTAGCTCTGAGCCACAGGGAGTTTCTACAAATTCTATCCCTTTTCTGGCAGCAATCTTTTGTAACGCATTGATCCAGAGCCTGGAGTCAAACCCTCTAACCAAAATAGCCTGGAGGGCAGCAAAGCCTTTGCTGATGGGAAAAATCCTCTTTACTCCAGATTCCCCTGCAGCACGCAGGATACTGAAGAATGTAAGATCCCCGCTGGTCTTGTCCTTCTGCTGTGTGTGTGTGTGTTACTACTGTGCCCTCCTAGTATTGAGCCTCGTGTTTGTTTTTCACCAAGTGGACTCCTGAGATCCCCCCTCCCACAGACATCAGTGGAATGCTTTGAGCCTGCTCCCCTGCGTGCCCTCCCCTCTCCATGCAGCCTAGGATGACGTCTTCTCCCCAGAACCTAAATTATGTCCCTAATGGAAGGGTGCACAGTTCTCTGAACCATGGGTACCCAAAGAAAGGGAGGAAGGGAGGAAGAGCATTTGCTCACAGGGAGTCCAAGTGCAGCTTTATGAGGTTCTGAGACAATGCCATCATCAGTATCACACATGCCTCTGAGATACTAAAAAATTAGGTTCTCTCCATGTGGGAGGCTGGGGAATAGCCCATTGTTCTGGGAAACATCAGTAGACTGAGAAAACAAATATACTACCTTAAAAAGCCTTTCCCAAACATTGAGGGTTGGTGTCAGAAGCAGGAAAGATATAACCAAACATTTTCTCTCACAATTTTCTCTCCATTCTTGTCTCTATCTCTGTCTGGTTTTAGGCCAACTCCACTTTTGAAGAGCTGGAGCGTGTTAGGAAATTGGTCAAGACCTGGGAAGAAGTAGGGCCCCAGGTCTGGTACTTCTTTGACAAGAGCACGCAGATGACTATGATCAGGGTACAACTGGTGGGGGCTGGAGGTGGGGGGAGGGGAGAGCCAAGAAAATTCCATATATTGCCTTTTCCCTGTAAAGAGTTAATCACCATTGGAGTCAGATCAAAATTCCACAAGCAGGGCCCAAAGACACTAGTTCCGGAAGCTGTCACCAAGTGGAGTTGTTGACTTTGGGTGGGAAATAATGTTTCTTGAATTCTGGGGGAAATGTAAAAATTGCCACAAGACCAGTGGTTTCCTGAGGTTTCTTATTTTTATGAATACCCTTGAGGGCTTCAGATTCAAGGGCGTATCTCAGGGGGGCAGCTTCATAACTGCAAAGATGATTGAGTATGTCCATCTGCTCTCATTTCAAGCCATGAGACAGGAATCCTATATAGCAGGGATAATTAAAAGATCATTAAAAATCCATAAGAAAAGGAAAGCTTCCTATATACCATTTTCCCTGCCCCTCTCCCCAACTCCCAACATGGACATCTTGCTTCTATTATAGAGGCCTGTGTCTTTGGGGAAAACAGTATATAGATAGCTATGCCTTATGATGGAAGAAAACCCTCTAGCTTTTTAGGGAGCGTTAGACTCTATCCCTATTCATTAAAAATTAGAAACAGCCTAAAAAGAAGACATTCCAAAGACCCTGTGGAATTTCTAAATGCTCTGACTGCATTGCTTCTTCCCAAGGACACCTTGGCGAACCCAGCAGTAAAAGCCTTTCTGAAAAGGCAGCTTGGTGAAGAAGGCATTACTGCAGATGCCATGCTGGACTTCCTGAATACGGGTCCTCGAGAGAGCAGGGCCAGCGACATGGCCAGCTTTGACTGGAGGGACATATTTAACGTCACTGATCGCACCCTACGCCTGGCTAATAAATACCTGGAGGTAAGGGGCAGCAAGCCAGCTGGGGGCCAGACTGGACCCCTCAAAGACAGCCCTGTGGGTGGGGCCAGAGATCCCTTAGCAAGTCAGGTAGCCTGGTGTTTCCGCTCTCATTCTCCCCACCCAAGAAATACTACTTCCGGCGACTCCCAAAGAGAGGAGCCTCCTGTTCTCTGAGAGCTTGTCCACCCTGTGAACAGTTCCCTCTTCACATCTCCTGCCCCCTACCGGCTCCATGACTCTTCCTTGGCTGCTCCTCCTCCTGTGTAGCCTGCAATATCCCTGTCTGTCCTTAACCCTCTCCTGTCTGCCCTTGTTTCCATGCCCATCACTGGCCAGGGTCCACCAAACCTGAGTTCCCAGGTCCCACTGCTTGCCGGACACTCCCACTCCCAGGCTCTGTAGGCACATCAGACTCACCATGTCTGAAAACAAATGTGTGTTCTTCCTCCCATAAAACTTATCCTCCTGCACCATTTCTTTTCCTAATCACTGTCTTCAGGATTGCTCCAAATTCTCAAGCTAGAGATTTTAGGGTCACCCTCAATTATCTTTCTTCTTCATCTTCCACACAAAAGCTCTCATTTACCGAGTATTACTTTGTGCCAAGCACCGCGAAAAATGTTTTTAACTTCATCAGCTCATTTAATCCTCACAACAGCTCCCTGAAGTATGTTACTCCTGTTGTACATTGTACAGATGCAGAAGCTGAAGCTTGAAGAGGTTATGTAAGATCTCATCCCGCAGATGTTAGATGTAGCAGACGGGACCCAAATCTGGCTGTGCCTGAGTTCACAGCCTGCCCTTCTGGTGCCCCTACTGCCTCTGCCATATCAGTCACTGAAGATAATTTGGCACCCTATTCTAATGCCTGGGGTTTCTCCCCATACCACCACCCAATTCTGCAAAACCAGCTGGGTGTCCTAGAGTTCAGCTCAATTCTGGAGATAATGTCAGATCCCAAAGGTTAAGGGTTCAGTCCTACAACACTGCCCCAGCCCCGCTTCAGATACCAGTCACAAGTCCAGCTTGTCCCCTGCCCGTATTACCTACTGGCTATAGATCAGGGGTTCCATGATCCCATCCCTGGATTCGATTAATTTGCTAGAGCCACTCACAGAAGTCAATTCTGTGAAACAGAAACAGTTTAATCATTCAATTACCAGTTTATTTTAAAAGAATTTAAAGAGATACATGGGGTGAGGCATGTGGACATGGTGTGGAGCTTCCACGTGCACCCCCTTCCCTAAAGCTCCATTTGTTAACCAGCCTGCAGCTCTCCAGGCCCCGTCCTTTTGGGGGTTTATGGAGGCTTATTGCATAGGCATGATGATTAAATTACTGGCCGCTGGTGACAGAACTATGTCTCCAGCCTCTCCCCTCCCAGGAGGTTAGAGGGGAGGGACTGAAAGGACCCTCGAAGCACTTGGTCAGTCCATCTGGCATCCAGCCTCCATCCTAGGCATCCAGCATCCAGTCAGGAGTCACCTCATCGACATAACAAAAGACACCTTTATGGGCTCCTCACTTAGGAAGTACTAAGGGTTTTAGGAGCTTTGTGTCAGAAGTGGAGATGAAGACCAAATACAAATTTCTTACTATAAGGCATAGTGTCACACCAAGCTTTGTCTACTCTACCTCTTAAATACCTCTCAACCGCCAGCTTTCCAGGCTCCCTGAGGCCTGGAGGCCTTGTCGTCTCTCCCCCGCAGCCTGTTTGAGCGGCTTCCTCCCCGGACTCCAGGGTCCAGTCTCTGTCGACTCAGGTGTTTCTCATGCTGACAGTTACATTCCAAACATACATTTGCTGGCATTACTCTCATGCTTAAAATCTTGGTGCACTCTCCCCGGCATACAAATTCCTCCCCAAACTGCCCTCATCACCCTCCCAGCCACAGCTCACCACACATCTCCTCTGCTCTACTGGCTCTGCACCCGCAGGCATACCCTGACCTCTCACAATTTCACCCTTTGCAAATGCTGTTTTCTCTGCCTATTTATCAGAGCTTTTTTGCTTAAACAAAAGAGGAGTTTATTAGTTGACATAACCTGGAAGTTTGGGTAATCTAGCGATTGCATGCTGCCATGAGACCCTTGAGTCCTTCCTCTGCACCTTTCTGCTTGCTTCCAGCAGGCTTCGATCTCAGATAGGCCCTCTTCATTTAGGACGACAGCTTCTCACAGCACCTAGGGTCATCTCTGTGCTGAAACCTCCACAGAAAGAGGGATTGGCTTCCCCATAGAATAAGCAGCACACCTGGACAGTTTTGCATTGGCTTGTCTTCCCTATCTATCCTTGCCTCCCTCAAGGGATTGTGTACGTGAGGGAGGTCTGGGTCACATGCCCCCAGGGTAAGGAAAGCAGACTTAGCCTCTTCTGATCCTCGGGATGGAGCAGGATGATTGGGAAATGGGGTAGGCTGCTTCTGCAGAAGAAACACAAGGCACAAAAACCTGAAATGACTTTTCCTTCCCCATCTTTTGAACTTCTATTCATTCCTCATTCATTCTTTGAGGCTCAGCTGTCAAATGTAACCTCTGCTTCAACAGAGGCTCAGCCATTCACTGCTCTGTGCTTCCCTGGCCCTCTCGACACATCTCTCTTAGACCTTGTCTGACTGAGATCTGAGGTAGGGGTTAATGTGACCACCTCGGGCTGAACAGCCAGACTGGAGTTCCTCAGGGTCAGGGAGCACATCTTGTTATTTTCCAGTTTTCCATCCAAACTCCCTGGGAACATCTCCATTAAAGGCTTATCACACCTGCCAATGGACCAGGTCAGGGCTAGGTAGAGGTCTCAGGTTATCAGGAACCATTAGAAGGCAGAGGATGCTCTGGGCACCAGGAGAGGGAATTAAGCCAAGGGCCCCGGAAGCAAGCTGCCTGCCCCTGCCTCCTGGCTCCTGAGGATGAGCAGCCAGTGAGGAAAAGCCTGCCACCATCAGTCACCACGTGCTCTTGAAGATTCCCTTGGCCCCTGGTGCCACTGGAATTTTCCCCAGCGTGTGTGACGCTCCCTCCGTGGCCTTTCAGAAGGGGCCAGGTGTGGCAGAGAGCCACCAAAGTTCAGGTCAAATGATCCCCAGCTTATCTGAAGGCAAGAATGACCTTGGGTGCTTTTTACAGAACTGATTCCTAAATACCAACCCAGATCAATTGACTCAGGATTCCCAGGGAAGTGGCCCAGCAATCTGTGCATTCACAGACCTGTGAGATTGGTGGAGCCTTGGAGTGGCCTTACCATTACTCAGTTGCCATCCCCTCCTCTCCCAGGGCCTCCACCACCTAAGTCCCTGGCTGTACCCACCACCACCTGCCCTCTGCAGTCATAGTACAGGTAGGATGCTTGAAGGGGGCTTGGGTGGGGGAAGGTGTCTCTCTTCCTCTAAACTTGCAGAGCAGAGTTCAGGGGTTCTCACATGTCTTTGTGAGGTGCCATCAGTAATAAGAAATACTTCCCGCCTTTTGTTTGACTTGATGTTTGCACAGTGACAGAAAGTTCTTATTTTCTTGAAGGATTACTTTTTCCATGTAGCTTGCACTTAATGTAGCACCAGCCACCCTAGAGATGCTTAATATATGTGTACTGCTTCAATAAATGGTTAAGAATTCTGTCTCTGGAGCCAGATGGCCTGGGTTCAAATTGCTGCTAGTTGTGCCTTAGTTTCTGCATCTATAAAATGGGAATATTAATTGTGCTTACCTAATGAATGGGCTTGTTATAAGAATGAACTGAGTCCATTCATCCAAAGCACATGGAACAGTGCCTGGCATAGCAAGCACTTAAATAGTAACATCTTAACAAAATACAACTAAAAAATACTGCTTAGGAGGAGGATGGTGGCATTAATGAAATGAGACCCAGCCACGGAGCTGCTCCTACTGCTCCTCTAGGGATTATGAGGCCGCTAGTCACACCTTTCCTCAGCCACCAAGACTTCCTGAGGGCCTTGCAATCCCAATAGCTCAGTGAAGAGCTCCTAAGCAAGGCCACGGGGGCCACATGTCCCTGGTCTTCCCCAGGGGTCCCTAAGAGGGGTTTTGATGGTGGCAGAAGCCGAAGAGGTGATGATTCTGATGAGGTTTCTGATCTTCTTGCCTTTGGTGGGAAGCGAGGAGGAAATGCACTGAAAGGAGAAGATGGGAGGAGGCCATGTGGTCCTGGAATTGTCTGCTTGTGTTCCTGTGTTTCGGGGAGTTTGGAGGAGCCTTGGAGTCCCCCTGCTCCCACCTGGGGGACTGCTCAGCAACAGCAGAAGCAGAGACCCCTCCCCACTGGCACTAAGGGTTCCCCAGGGCAGGGCAGCAAGTGAGTTCCCTCACGGGCTGTTTAAAGCTCAGCTGAAGCTCTCCTTTTCAGCTGTGTGACTTGTATGGAGGAGATTTGGGAACTTCCTCCTGGGCCAGCCTCTAAGCCTACTTCCCTGCTTGTTCCAAAAGAGAAAAAAAACCTCTTTTTTTTTCAGGAAAATTAAACAAAAACACTCTTTAAAGTGAAAATCATGTCAATCTAGGTCAGTGTGGCACTCGGATGTGATACTGAACAATAATAGAAGCCCCAAGAACTAAGAACAAAGAGCATTAAGCCTTTGCCTTCATAGGAAAGGGAAGTGATTCAGTAGGTTTTCTCTTCAACCAGCAGAAGGGCTAAAGCTCCCTCCTTTCTGCTGGGGGTGAGGCCTTAGGTACTAGGCATTCCACTGAGTAGCCTGAGTAAGTCCCCTTCCCCTGGAGCCACCTTGCTGGGCCACTTGCCTGCCATGGTAGGCTACTGCTTACGGAACCTTCTCACCCACTCAGGGAGGACAAGTGGGCCTGGATCCCTACTTCTTGTGAGCTAGCTGCATTACTCTGAGAAAGTCACTTTACCCACTAGGGCTCAATTTTCTTATCTATAAAATCCAGATAACACAACAGACTTCCTAGAGTTGTACTTGAGGACACAGTGAGAGAAGATGCAGAGCACGCCACACATTCATGCCACTGATCGCTAGGCGCCTGTG